AATCGAGTGATTGTTCGGCAGCCCTATTCCGGAGAAACCATCACTGCTTTGAAGTAAGCTATTTTGTTTTTTCATACTCCTCATGAAGCCTGTCAGATTGGATCAATACCCATATTATGTGGAAAAAGAATGGTGGAAGAAAGGTAAAAGAATGACGTTTTGGGCCACTTGGAGACAGCTGCGGGATGTAAATCGTCGAGAAGTGGTGCAAACAACAGGAGCCGACCGAATGAGACTCAAAGCTTTAAAAGAGAACAACGTTTTACCGCAGGCTATCCGGGATGAAGCTGCTGAGAATCTCCACAATATGCCTAAATATAGTAGGCCACGATTAGTGCTTAACATGTGTATGTTCACGGGACGACAGAGAGGAAAGATAAAGCCTTACCGACTGAACCGTCATCTGTTTAGGTTAGTAATTTCACTGTCATCGTGATTAACGGAGATAAGTTCAGGAAATACGCTGATCACAGTCAGCTAAGTGGAGTACAGCGGGCTATGTGGTGATGCATTCTCAATTTGAGCACAATATGAGCATTTAAATTTATAGACTTTAAGTAGATGAATAGATATATTTTTTTTGATTTGTTTTATTGTTATTAGACTGTTATTGTATCAAAGCTACGATTTTGTTCGTTTCTCAAGTTGTTCAACTCAACTGACTGTACCTGCAATCATCATACACTATTCCCATTATCCTACTTTTAGATGAAGTGGATCATACTCAGTCTTGCTGTGGTTGGCATTACTGCTTCATCCATTCAGTTTACTTCGCTCCCGAAATCCATTACACTTTCTGGAAATGTTTTGAAATCTTCAAAAGTATCCGATCTTAATGCCAATATTTTGGGACTCACAACTAACCCTGTGCAAGGTGATTGAACTGCGATTTCGTTTCTTATTTTCCCTGTTCAGGCATTGAAATTGAGACTGATCTTTTCAGTAGACCTCATGCTATTGCTGCATTTTATGTAGAAGGAGTTGATACTGTGAGCGATAATGCACAATCTTTTACTTTAGAGGACGTGAGTTAACAGCAATGAGCTTAATAACGTTATTCGTGTTCTAGAACGGGTTGGACCTCATCTCTTTAGATTCAAAGTTGGCCCTAACTTTTGGAGCTGATCGTGAATTCGCCCAAACTAGCAGAAGCGGAGTAAGTGGTTCTTCAATCGCCGGGCTCGCTACCGAACAGACAGTTGATGCATCCATTATCAAAACAAAGATCGAGAGTCTCCGTTCTGAGCTAGTGCAAGTCTACAAGTTGGCTAAAGCGATCCGCTCTCAAAGTGCTAAATTCGAAATTTCTGAAACCGCTGACGTCTATCGCGTAGATATTAAGGTTAGAGGACGCAGTTTTATTTTCACATCACACCATGTTTAGAGCTTGTCCGGTTTGAATCTCTCCGATGATGAACGTGCTACTGCTATTGCTGATATCAACAATGCTGTTCAAGAACTCACTTCTGCACTTTCTAACGTTTACGGCGAACAAGTAGTTGTAGAGATCATTGCCCTCTCTTCAGCCATCAAAAACGCTGAAGTTGAAAATCACAAAATCTCGAAAAGAGATGTAACTCCTGTTACTGCTACCGATCAGAAACTCGCTCAGTACCGTAAAACTTTCAATGTTTCTGTCTTCACTTCATCAGATTACCCAGCAATCTTCGCTATCTTCCTCGGAACTAGTTTAGCCTTAGTCCTCGCTGTCCTTTATGCCACTGTTGGAATGATGACTATGGAC